AACATGCATATATTTAAGAAATATTTACATGTATATACATATTCATATTTATATATGATTTATATTATACATAAATATAAATATATATATATTAAATATATTTCTTTTATATATACATATATACATTATATATATGTGTGTGTATTTATATTTACATATAAATATACTCAGCAAACACACATATATTATGTAAACAAATGTTTATTTTGGATGCAATTAATCGTGATTAATTGATTTGACAGCACTAAATAATAATAATAATAATTATTATTATTATTATTAATGAATAATAATAATTATATTATTATTATTAATGAATAATAATAATTATTATATTATTATTATTATTGTTATTATTAAGTGATTATTTCTAGTATTACTATTGATGTTGCTGTTGTTAAATAAAAATAACAATATTAAAAGTAAAAATAAAAACATTAATCGTGATTAATTTTTTGACAGCACTAAATAATAATAATAATAATTATTATTAAATGATTATTTATTGTATTACTATTGCTGTTGTTGTTGTTGTCAAATAACAATAACAATATTAAAAGTAAAAATAAAAACTTAATAAAAACAGTGAAAATTACTATGATTACTCAGAAACATAATAATTATTATCACTATTATTAATATTTATAATGTATTATTGTTATTATTCAATAACAACAGCATAATTAATAACAACAATAGTTTTAAAGATAAACAACAACAACAATAATAATACTACATATTAAAATTATAGTTTTATTATATAGACATATTTAAATTCATTTTCAATAACAATAAAATTGTAGTATTAATAATAACAGGGAACATTTATAATTACCATTGCAAATATTATTATTAAATAACAATAAAAATAATAGTTATAATAATAATAAATATGATAAATATATGAAATATGATAAATGTGACAAAAAAAATACTTTTTAAAGTATTAATTACTAAATACTAGCATAATAAAATTGTACTCAATTTTACCTTACACTAATATGAAGTATAACACAATGAAAACGTTTGACCATGTTTTTTTAATATAGTAACACCATGGGTTTTGACCATGTACCGTGGTTATTCAATATTTTTTGGACATGTGCCATGGCCATACCACATCTTTTTAAGTACCTGGGTGTACTATGAAATATGAATATGGTATTGTTCAATATTATGATATAATGGTACTCTGAAATGAAAGACAGCCAATTGCAGTTTGGAATCTATTACTACTAAAATAATGAGTCCATTTCTTCTCTAACTTCCATTCATCAAGTCAGCGATCCCATCAAGGTCTTATGGAAAGCTAATCCTTCTCACACAATCTCTCCATCAAGCTGTCTAAGCAGCAAATATCTACCTTCCGCTACATCAAATTCACATACTAAGAAAATATGACAGGTTGCAGGAACTATGAACGCTGAGTATGCAGGCAGAACAGAGGGAAAGTGCCCTGGCAATGCTCAAAGAATCATGAAAGGCCAATGCGCATAATTAAGGAATGCTAATTAACAGCAGAGGTTATTTAATTACAGCCACTGCAAAGAGCTGGCCTGCGGAGAATAATTCATCTTTGCCACTGCAGACACTGACAGTTTGAAACCAACGTCAGACCAGGAGACACTGCTTTCGTGAACTAGAAATGCCTTTTAAGCGGCTGTCGTGTAAACATACACAAAAAGAAGTCCGTTTCAGGCTTCCAGTCCTTCAAATGCACATCCAAAAATCACTGAATAATTAACAAATCAGCTAATCTTTAAAATTTTATTTGTAGCTTACGTTTTTCAATTACTTTCCAAAACCGAAGGCTAGTCACAAGGCTTGAAAATCACACCCCCAGTAAATTAGAGCTTAGCCTCATTCCAGCTCTATTCAGCAGAGTAGCCTACATTCAATCTGAGCCATTGAGAAAACAGGCCACTGGCTAGAAATCAAACAGCAAGATGAATAACAGTATTTAAGATCCAAAAAGCCTCCATTACTGTGTTTAGAAGTTCAGCTCACCATGTAATTCAGGTAGTCTCAACATGACCACACTGATATGCAAATAAATACTCTAAATAGGTGTCCTCTCTGTTTTTGTGCTCCAAATGACTTCAGATTCAGACGAAAATGGAGGCGAATTCACTGACACTGTTGATTTGTGTCGAGATAAATAAAGAGGAGGGAGTCAAACGGAGACTGAATTACTGCAGAAACTGACAGATCAGTGTAAGTTGAAAGATGGATCTTCTCAGCATATGATATGAACAGAAGGAAGAATGCTTTAAAGTTTGCTCATAGCACCTGTGATATACCTACTGCTCTCCAGAAGAGAATGACAGGCTGAAAATGAATGTGCCTCTGGGTAGAGTAGAAATCAGCATTTATTCTCATAATAATTAAATTGCTTGCAGAACTGCTAAGCAACAAGCTAAACATATAAAAATATGGTGAGGAGCTACATGCTAAAATTAACTTAGTTAGCCATTAATTTTCACCTTCTTTAAATCATCACCCTTGCTGATATTTTGTTCCCATTTATGTGTGGAATAAAAAGAGGAAACTTGTTATATTCGGATGCCTAAGTCAATCTTGTAAAATAGATTTTGAATCTTGCAGAGGTTTTTCGTCTTTGGTCAAATAAAGTTTATAATAATTTTTAACAACAAAACTTCCTACGCACGCATCGCACATTATATCATAATAGCCCAAACCCAACTAATAATAAAGCCCCTTTAGTTGCCTTTAACATTTACACTATTATCATTATTTTTGAATGAATAAATTTTTCCATCATCGTGCAATTTGCACCCTTTATATTTACATTTTTTTAATAAATACATATTTGTCATCATCATGCACTTTGCACCAATCAATAAATCTAACAACATCAATAATAAAAAAATATGATTATTATAATTATCAAATTATTATTTTTAGTATTACTATTGTTGTTGTTAAACAATAACAAGTAATAATAAAAAGTGATAATTATTATTATTATGACTCATAAACATTTAAATTATTGTTATAAATTATTGTTATTATTACTATTATTATTATCCAACAAGTATTTAATCTATTATTAATAATAATAATTATTATCACTATTATTATTATTTATAAAGTATTATTGTTATTATTCAATAACAACAATATAATTAATAATAACAATAATTTTAAAGATATAAATAATAATAATGATACATATTACAATAATATATATTTATATATATATATATATATATATGTGTGTGTGTGTGTGTGTGTATGCGTGTGTCTATAAAATAACATGTATTATAACACTTATTATTATAACACTTTGCACCTATCAATAAAATATTAATAAAAAATTTATAAAATAAATACAGAGATATTGATTAAATATATAAAGAATAATTCTGCAAAGCAACATTTAAAAGACATTCACAGTTTTTAACGCAATAACCATTTTGAATTCCTAAATGTGTTAAAAAGTATTAAAAGCATTAGTCAAAGCAAACAAATGATTCATAAAAATAATAATTATTGCAAATATACATACTAGCATGGGCTTTAATGACCAACATTATAAGTCAACATAAAGCACATAAAATAATTCTATAATACATTACAAAAATTATGCACAACAGCAACATTTCACAGCTTCGCACCACAACCTCCTGCAGTGACAAAAACACTATTATCTTGCAGTTATGTTTTTAATGCAATAACTATCAAACTACTTTGTAAATCTATTTAAGACTAAGTCAAAGTATGAAAAAAAGATTAATAAAAATATTTATTCTTCCCAAAGAACTTACAT